TGTATGATATACTGTGCTTACATAAAAGCTGCATTTCCAGTACGAGATGGAAAGCTTGTTCACCCAAAAAGGGTGAGGTTTTCCTGCCTGCTGGCACAACTGTACTAGCAGCCTCACCCAATTCCTTTTCCTTTTCTTCTTTACCCCAGTCCTGATACTGGACTCGTTTATCCTGACAGGGCGGGCAAACCCAGCTGCTGGCCTCCACCTACAGCACTTGCTAAGCAATTCAGCCTTTTCTTATAATGTCATGACTTTTTCTCTGCTTCTTGAGAGCACTTCTGGCTCTTTCTATGGGTCACAGGCTTATACCTTTGAACTGGACATGCTGAGAAATACACTAGAACCAGGAGAAATCACTATGACCATTACACTTAGTTTTCTTGACAAAGTGTTTGTGTGCAGCACAATTAGCCATGCACTGCATTTTTATTTTTTAAATCAAGAGTATAAGTGGACCCATGCATTCAAACCCACTTTGTCCAGGGTCCACTGTCTTTCAGCATGTGGCTCCTCCCCTTCCCTGTCCCAGCACTGTCCCTTACCGGATGCTCTGAGTGCCTGTATCCCTGGATTGGGTGGGGAAGGCCAGGCAGGCAGGACTCAGCACCCTGCCCCTTCCTCCAGGACAATAACGGGGTGATTGGGCTCCTGGAGCCCATGAAGAAGAGCATGGTGCCCGTGCAGGTCCAGCTGGATGTGTCTGTGGTGAAGGTGGCCTCAGGTGAGTCGGGGTACACACCCTGGGCAGGAGTTCAGGGGACTCTGTCTTAGGGCTGACAGACCTTGGACCCCACCCCCTGCCTTCCTCTCATCCTCAGGGAATGACCACCTGGTGATGCTGACGGCTGACGGTGACCTCTACACCCTGGGCTGTGGAGAACAGGGCCAGTTGGGCCGAGTGCCTGAATTATTCGCTAACCGCGGTGGCCGCCAGGGTCTTGGTAGGTACCCTTGGCAGTTCTGGCAGGGCATTTTGGCAAGCCACCTCCCAGTAAGGGCCCAAGCAGGGCAAGGAGAAGATTCTCTGGGACATCAGATAGACCTGGGGTGGTGGGTAAGACCTTCAAACCAGTCTTTCCTGGGTTTGAATACTGCCTCTGCTACCTACTAGCTATAAAACCCTGGATGTGGTCTTCTTATCCCTAAAATTCGGGGAGCATGAGTTCTTACTTAGCTTGTCGGGTTGTTGTGAAATTCAAGTCAGTGTTGAAGCGGATCGGGCACATGGGAAACTCATGTGAATGTTAGCTCCAAGACTCTGGGAAGCAACCTTGCAGGCACAGCTGTTACACACTCATCTGCTAACTGAAAGGCTGGCAGTTCAAACCCACTGGTGGCTCCCTCCATGGGAGTCAGAGCTGTTGACACGCTGCTGTAACCATGGCAGCCTAGGACAGCCTCTGGCCATTCTCCAGGCTCTCCTGGGCCAGAGGCGCTGCAGTGGACTCAAAAGCACCCAACAGCGGCCTGGCTGTGGGAGTCTTGTATGCTGCTGGCCTCGGTTTTCTCTTGTGGGAACAGGGCCGAGTCTGGTCGGTTTCCCTCGAGGGGCCCTAGTGGTACAGAGGAAGCAGGCTGGGGGAGGCAGCAGGGAACGGGGGCTCTGTGGGCCTGTCTGTCTGCCTCTAGCCCTGGCTTCCCTTCTGCCTACAGAACGGCTCCTTGTCCCTAAGCGCGTGTTGCTGAAATCCAGGGGAAGCCGGGGCCATGTGCGCTTCCAGGATGTCTTCTGTGGCGCCTACTTCACCTTTGCCGTCTCCCAGGAGGGTCACATCTATGGCTTTGGTCTCTCCAACTACCACCAGCTTGGTAAGTGTGGAGTTCAGCTCAGGCATCACCCGACCCTACCTCCTTCCCCCTTCCCTGCGTGCCCTTGGGATAGCCTCCCCGCTCCAGGCCTTTGAGGCTAATCCTTCAGTGGGGGGAGGCTATTCCTCACTTGGAGAAGGGGCGAGGAGGCCCCTCCTTGAACACCATCACCCCTGATGGTTCTGCCTCGGTCTTCTCTCTCCCGCCCCCACCCCCACCCCAGGAACGCCAGGCACAGAATCTTGCTTTGTACCCCAGAACCTGACATCGTTCAAGAACTCCACCAAGTCCTGGGTGGGCTTCTCGGGTGGCCAGCACCATACGGTCTGCATGGATTCCGAAGGTGGGGCCTCCTGGTCTTCCTGGTGAGGGGTGGCGTTCCCTGGGCCAAAGCCTGGCTGGACTCCCGAGACCCTGGCCTTGCACCCGGGCCTGCTCCTTGGCTGGACCAGACATGGGTCCGTGCAGCCAGCCCCTCGCCTGAGTCCCGGGGCTCTTCCAAGTGTTGGCCCCCTGCAGGCCTATGTGGAGGTTCTCCCACCTCAGGCCCCAAATTGGGAAGAAACCGAAGGCCTCCTCCTAACTTTCCTGGATCTGGGCTCCCACCTGACCACACCACTTGATTTGTCCAGAGCACTCCTGCTTAAACTCATCTCTCGCCTTCTCACCACAGGAAAAGCGTACAGCCTGGGCCGGGCTGAGTATGGGCGGCTGGGCCTCGGGGCGGGTGCTGAGGAGAAGAGCATCCCCACCCTCATCCCCAGGCTGCCTGCCGTCTCCTCAGTGGCTTGTGGGGCCTCTGTGGGGTATGCTGTGACCAAGGATGGTGAGTGGGGCTGCCCACCCTGGGTCAGGTCAGGGGCGAGCTGTCTCAGATGACCCCTAGGAGAGGGGAGTGAGGAGAGCAGTGCTTGGGCTGACGCGTTTCTCCTGGGTCTCAAGCACACGTACTAGTTCAGTCACGGTGATCTGTCCTGTGGCAGAGAAAGTGCACAGGGTCCCCAGACTCCTAATCCAGCCCCTTCATTATCCTCTCCTCCCTGGGGGACCTAGGATGTGCCAGCTTCTCAGGGAGCCCCCTGCAGTCTGAGTGAATGGAGTTGGGAGTGGACGCTTGGTTAGCCTGTGGTGATCCAGAAAGGCTTCCTGAGTGCTGCGCACACTGGGCCCCAGGGGACCACCCAGAGCAGTAGGGGGTGGGGGGGCAGGGGCGCTGGGAAGTGGCCAGTTAATATAGACTCTTGTTTTGTTTTTTCCCATGTAGACTCTATGCCTTGCCTAGGAGCCGAGAGGAATAAGTCAGGGGCAAGGTTTATGGTCTCTGGCCTACAGAACTCTTTTGACCTGTCATGGCCTTGGCTTCTCCCAGTGCTCCCAACCCCCTGGGGGCTGGGACCTTGCAGGCTGGCACACATGGAAGCCAGAATTCACTCCCACACCTCAGACTTCTCACAGAATGGGGTGGCTAGGGCTCCTAGAGCTCACTGCCCCCATCCCTCTCCTCCCTCACAGGCCGAGCTTTTGCATGGGGCATGGGCACCAACTACCAGCTGGGCACCGGACAGGACGAGGACGTCTGGAGCCCTGTGGAGATGACAGGCAAACAGCTGGAGAACCGAGTGGTCTTGTCTGTGTCCAGCGGGGGCCAGCACACAGTCTTACTAGTCAAGGACAAGGAACGGAGTTGATGAGGGCCTGGCCCCCGGCCCCCTCGACCTTCCTCATGGATCAGGGAAGCAGTGACAATTACGGACTCCAGCAGCTCTGCCCTCAGCCCTGAGCGCTCTTGTTACCTCCTGCCTTTTTCTCATCAGCGGAACTGAACCCCGTTATTCTTTTTAGTTTTTCCTTTCCTGCTTTGGGTACTCACCCTAAGATAAGACCTGCAGGATGACAGGCTGGAGGGGAAAGGGGCAGGGGCTTATCTCAAGGACCGTGGCTCCCCCGGAGCATGTGGATAGACCTTTCCTGGCACGTCCCTACCTCTCACGGCCCTGCTAGTCTCCACCTTGCCCACCGAAGAACCCTAGCTTCCTTTGGTGAGTGTTTGGTGCCCATGCACTGAACTCTGGGCTCTGTCAAGCCCCACCCTAGTCATGTGCCTCTCTGCCCCTAACAGCTTACAGGCAGGCAGACACAGGTACAGTTGCCAGAGTCAGCTGTCATGGCTGCGTGCTTTGGGGGAGGGGGGAAAGGGCAGGGCTGGCTAGCCAGCCATGGGATGGGCTGCACTCAGCCAAATGCTTGGCTCTGAATAGGTACCCAGGGGCAGAAAGGACAATGATTGTTCGCTTGACTGAAGGAAAAAAGCAGCCAACTAAAACTTCTCCTAGAAGCACAAAGCATTCTCCTGCCCCTTGGGCACCGCCCGCTTATCCAACCCTTTCCAGCTGCCTCACCTGCAGCCAAAGGCCCGAACACAGAAGGGAAACTAGGCAGGACAGGACTTCGGGGAGACGAGATGGTGGATTTTTAAAATATTGAAGGGGTGGAGAGAAGGGAGGGGAAGAGGTTTGGGGACAGGGAGGGGCTGGTCCCAAGAAACAGAACTTCTACAGTGACCAAGACCATAGAAAGTAGTTGTGATTTTTTTTAAATGTAAACTATTTTGGAGGAGAGAGTGAAATCTTTTAAAGCTTTGAATAAATTTAGAGTTTTATAAAAATGGGCCCCTTTTTTCCTATACATTTCCTGCTTTTTGAAGGGAATAACCCGCTGCAGGCCCAGGGGTCCACAGCCCTGGGGCCAGGCCTGGGACTTAGTGTCCAGATGTCCCGAGGTGCTGGTGTATGCTGCTCAGCTGCTGGTGCAGCTGTTCGAGACTCCAAATCTACACACTGAAGTTGACTGGGATTTTGGGTTGTGGGAATCACTGCTTTTTTTTTTTTCCCTTTCTTTACAGTACATTTCTAGAAATATTTAGTAAGCTTGGGTCATTTTCAACACCTGATGCAGTTTGTAAACATAATTGCACAATCGCTCTTAAAGGACAATTTCTGTCATCGAATGCAGACTTGACAGGCCTGTGAGCAACCAAAGCCTAGCGCTGACTCCGCCCCTCATGGTAGCCAGGAGCTTCAGGTGACCACTCATGTGCCACCTTGGCCCATTCAGGTGAAGTCCAACGACATCATAGCTCTGATCCCATAAGGTTATACTGGAGGTCAGAAATCCTCATCCAAGGAACTGGACACAACTGCACAGTAGCAAACAGAAAAGCGTCCCAACACAACACGTGTTACCTCACGTCTCCTGTATACAGTGATTTCCGCTGCTAGGCATAAAATGGCACAGTACATACATAACCTGTAATACATGTCTCGATTGTCATAATACTGGCTTATGTATGTACTGTACTGTAGATCGTTACTTTAATGTGAACTTTCCCTACTTGCAAATAAAAAAAATGTGCTGTGTTACAGTGTATGTATCCGCTCAGTCAGCAGCATGCAACCTTGTGTGCCCTGCATCTCCTGAGTGTTGTACTGTTAGCTCTGTTCTTGGAAAAAAGACTACCATGAGGCACAATATGACTCCCAAATGGTGCAGAGCCAGTGCTGGTGACACCGAGGGACAAAGAAGCTTGTATTCAGAAGTGGAGCAAACAGTTATTAACAAAAAGACAACATGAGTGAATGCTGTTGCTCATGGTTTAGGCATGTTTCCACAGCATCCACTCGTAGAGTGTACCGTTACACTGAACCCATCGTGGACGTTACGGGATGCATGGCTGTATTTCAAGCCTTGGAAACATTAATTCATTTCCTTAGTTGCGCCATTCACGTTTCAAGTACTCAGCAGTTACATGTGCGTGACGATGGCATTGGACCATGAACGTGGAACATTTCCCATCAGTGGAATGTGACATGGAACAGTGCTAAGACGGTGGGCCTGTGTACCTACAATAGGAGGTCTGTTAGGACCAGAATGATTCTTGGAAAAATGAATGTGATGTAATTTAAAAGGAAGCCTGTGATTTAACTCCTTGAACTGTTCATCCTAACGCAGATATGACTGACTAGAACTTGGCTGGAGAAAAAATCCCAAGTTTTATCTCGGTATTTTTTTTATAAAGGGGTGTTTGTATGGCTGCTATATCCTGCTTCCTGCTGCTTCCACAAAAGGTCCATTTGAGTTGTACTGACTTACTGGCATCTTCCTTTTTGACAGTGTAGCAGATGTTCAGCACCCTGACCTTAAACTAACAGCTGCTCTCTGTTGAGCACCTAGGGGCATAGTGAGTACCCTGTAGGTTGCTAACTTACAAGTTCAGCAGTTCGAGACACCTGCCTGCTCCAAGGGAGAAAGACAAGGCTTTCTACTCCGACAGAGTTAGTCTCTGAAATCCACAGGGGCAGCTCTACCCTGTCCTAAAGGGTTCCTGTGAGTCAGAATTAACTTGAGTGCATGGAGCAGGCCTTGTGAGAAGCACTTTATATGTGTGAGTGCATTTAATCCTCACATCAGCCTTGAAAAATAGGGACTGCACGACGACATAAATGGGGAAGCGATCCTAAGAGCTGAAGTGATGTGCTTGAGTTCCAGAAGCTATAAGTACACAGCTGATGCTGGAAGCTAAATTGGCATCCTGAGCCCACAGCCGCGATTCCTTTTCTTTGTATTGCACCTGAGAACTTTATAACACACTGTTGGCGCTTTCTATATATTAGAACAGTGTCCGGCACAATAGATGCTCTCTGTCTGCTATTACAATTCTTGTACATTTTTTATTTCCTTGTAGCTACCTTATTTTTCATGTGCTTAGTTTTAATGTATATATCTCATTAGTTCAGTGCTGGCATCTCTATCAGAAGTTTATAATTGTGTGTTCAAGCACATCAAGTAACATCTCAATTTCATCTTTCCATCCTGGACTGGCTACCCCCCAAAGTCTGTAACTGTAGTTATCTCATTTGGCTTAATAGTATCCCTGGTAGTGGAGTGGATTAAGTGTTGGGCTGCTAACCACAAGGTCAGCAGTTCAAACCTCCTAGGTACTCTGAGGGAGAAAGATGAGACTTTGTGCTTCTATAATTTACAATCTGGGAAACTCACAGGGACGCCTTTGACTGTCATGTAGGGTTGCTATGAGTCAGAATCAACTTGATGACGGTTGGTGTGGATGTGGCTCAGCTATAAATACTATGTACAAAGCCATGATAATTACATAAATGTTCAGTTCTAACAAAAATCACAACGAAGATGGAGACGTGTATGCATGAGAGCAGCAGTTGCTCAAATAAAAGCCACCAAAAAAAAAAAAAAGCCACAAATGAAGATAAAGTAGT